CGTGAGGCATTTGTTTTGCTGAATTTTTAGAATTAGTTTTTTATTCTTTTAAAAAATTAAAACCTAATTTGATAAAAATAAAATATTAAAATATATTTTTTAATTTTGAAAAAATATTTGTACCCAAAAAAAAAAGAAGAGAGAAAAGCATAAAAAATAATAATGTGTGTGTTTCGTTTGAGTTTTTTGAATTAACTTTTTTAAAAATTAAAATTTATATTTTTCATATTTTTTATTTTTAGTGAATATTTTTAAAATTTGAAGCCTTAGGTGTATCTAAAAAGTAAAAAAATGGTAAAAAAATAATTAAAAAAAGTAATAAATACGTAAAAATACTATATTGAATTCTTGTGTTTTTTAAAATATATTTTTGGTATTTAGTGAATTTTTAAAAGATTTTTTTCACAAAAATTATACTTTTTATATGTATTTATGTTAAGTGTGTCTAAAAATTAAAAAAATCAGTAAAAATAAAAAAACACAGAAAATAAGAAAGTATTATTTTTTGAAAAATGTTTTTGGAAAACCAAAAACAAGCAAGCATTGTTTTAAAAAATTTCACTTAACTAGTTATTTATTTATTTATTATTATTTAGAAAATAGATTCTACCAACGTTAAGTTGTCACATTACTTTCTATTTTTTTGCATATCTTTTCATAAAAAGTTAAAAAATTTATTAAAATAGTATGTTCTCAAACGAGACCGATCAAACAAAATAACATTCCTTATTTGGGGACTACACATTTTAGCAAAAAAAAAAAATAAAATTAAAAAGTCACTATAAGTTGTTGTATCACTCTCTATTTTTTTGTACATCTTTTTGTAAAAAGTTAAAATGTTACTAAAATAGATTGCTCCCAAACGAGACCATTGAACAAAATAACATTCCTTGTAATTATGTTTAGGATAAATTTCACTTTATCCCTTGCGATTTAGCCCATGTGTGATTTACTCCCCTAAGGTTTGGAAATGACTACATAACCTCCATGTGGTTTGTGGAATGAAATGCATTGTTAAACATTTCGTTCAACTTAACAACAAGTGTGAGGCACGTGGAAGATATGAAGGGGTTATATTCTCCTTTTCATATTTCAAATGAGGTAAATCGCACATGGAATAAAGCACAGGAGATTAAAGTGCACTTTGCCTTCTAAATAAATAACGAAAATATAAGAATATTTTAGTTTTTTTCATTAAATCATTAACAGGTTTAATGGTGCACTTCAGTTCACAAATCACAAGTAGGGCCGAATAAAGGAACTGTAAAAATCCACAAACCAAACCGGTCTAATCTAATCCAATCAAGTAGGTTTGGTTTGATTTTTTGAATTCGTGGTTCAGTTCTGGTTTGAAAAATTGAGGAACCGTTCTCTACGGATCGATTCCAGATTGAAGTTCATGGTTCCGGATTAAAACCGATCCAAATTGTATGTAACTTAAATCACATACATACCATACACCCTGTGAAATAGCACTGATGTGTTTAGCTTCAATTTTCTAAATTTTTTTCTAACTTAAAGTATATGTGTTATCCCAGTTAGGCAACCCAAGAGGGGGGGTGAATTGGGTTATTAAAAATTTCACAATATTAAATATAACACAATATTCAGAATTTGAATAAATAAAAACAAACAGAATAATAATTATCAATATAAAAGTAGAAGAGATAGAGAGAGAAATACCATACACCCTGTGAAATAGTACTGATGTGTTTAGCTTCAATTTTCTAAATTTTTTTCTAACTTAAAGTATATACATACCATATTCTCTTAATTCAAGAATTTTAGTTCCAGCTCTAATAATAGTTAGGCAATTTTCCCCTTACCCTTTTTTGCTTTTCTATTTTTTTTTTTTGAAAAAGCAATTTTCACAATGCAAATCTGTATCACAAGAACTATTAATCTTTGGAATTGTTGAGGTGAATAAAAAGTAAATGATTTTACTTATTTATTCGATAAATAGGTTATGGCCACGTCACCAAGTATAGTCTTTAATTGGATGCGTTTTTATGAAATAAGTTCTCTTTGATCGTAATTGAGTTTATTTTACAGGATAAACTCTTTAGATTAGACATTACAACAAAGCGATAAATTTTTTACAATGGATTAGTTTTGGTTTTATCCCAAATCGAACTAATCCGGACCATGTTCATCCCCAATCACAAGAGGATTATGTGATCATTTCTAAATATTAAGAGAGTAAACCTTACATGACGTAAACCACAAAGGGATAAAGTGAAGTTTGCTCTTATTTTTGTTAGTGACTTTTTAATAGCGCCTCACTTATATCACCAACGATGCAAACAAAGATGGATCTAGGGGGTAGATGTAGGCGATCGCACCCCAAAAAAAAATAAAAAAGATCATATATTATATTGAAAAAATTTAAAATTATATAGATTTATACATTTGAATATATTTTCACACCGTCATAGTGATAATTCTAAATCCTTCTCTAAATACGAAGTGCATAAATTCAAAATATAAAATAAAATACAAATCTCTCATAAAATGTGGGTCCTACATATGACCCCACAATATGTGGGTAATATGTGGGGCCTACCCCTACAAAAATTTCTGTGTATTATTTTGTGTTTTTAGATTTGTGCACTTACAGTTTATCTTTATCCTTACATCAATAACATAAAATGTCTTGAACTCATCATGACTAAGAAAACACAAACAATCTTAGCTCATCAGTCTTCAAACTAAGTATGTGGACACAAATTCACAATTTTACATTAAATGTATTATCAGTTACACATTTAATAGAGGAATCTCTTAATTACATGACCTTTCACACTACGCTGGCTTCAAAATTAGTGTGGACTCTGCAGTGTATGTGAGATGATACACTATTGGACTGCCAAAGCTATATCAGCACCGTTCAAATAGCTGACTTGTGAGATATTCTCAATCAATTGGGTGCTAAATCAAAGGCCGAGATTCCATTTCAATTCTAGTAACGTCAACCAATAATTTTACCACATATATGGTGTGTAATTATTACCCCACTCATTACAATAATCTAAAAAAATGTTATATTCAAATGTTAAAAAAAAAATGAAAAAAATTTCTTCTTATTACAAGGTTTAAAAAAAGTAAAAATATAAAAATTCTCAAAATAAAATAAACAAATAAAGTTTAGAAAAGGTAATAAACAGATACGAAGGAAGAGGTGCCCTCCATGGAATTTTTAAAAGGGAGCAGCGTGCCTCCAGTTTAGATCGGACTGGACGGTACTGTTCGGCTTGTGAAAGCTTGTCACGAGTCTCGTTTTAATAATCTGAACCGTTATTATGTAGAATTCGTTGATTATCATATGTTTGCAAAAAATCACATTAATCGGATATCGATAGCTATAAGATCAAAATCAGTTTTGTGCAAAAAAATGGACGGTGAACAAATTAATGATTGACAAAAAACTGATCTGATGAGATAGCTATCGATATCCAATCAATGTGATTTTTTACAAACATATAGTACTCGACGAGTTCTACACATTGAACGTTTAGATTATCAAAACGGGACTCCTAGTGGACCCCCACGAGCCAAAAATTGCATGAGGATTTCAATTATTAAATTTATTTCAATTAATAATTATTATTATTATTACTTTCATTTTATCTCCTTAATTCAAGAATTTTAGTTCCACCTCTAATAATAGTTAGGCAATTTCCCCTTTACTATTTTTTTTTTCTTCCAGAAAATTAATTTTCACAATGCAAATCCGTATTACAAGAACTGTTAATCCTTTGAATTGTTGAGGCAAACAAAAAGTAAATCATTTTACTTATTCATTCGATAAATAAGTTATGGCCACGTCATTAAGTATAGTCTTTAATTGGATGCACTTTTACAGAACAAGTTCTCTTTGATCGTAACTGAGTTTATTTTTACAGGATAAACTCTCTTAGATATTAGATATTACAACAAAGCGACAAATTTTTTATAACTAAACCATATAACAGATTAAAAGAGTAGAGTTTTACTATATTTCTTAATTCATTACCCCCAACTACACCTCTTCTTTTGACATGACAAACAATTTTGAAAGGATAAAGGAGAAATTGAAGAAACTTAATTGATTAATATTGTGGGGTCTTTTGAGAAGTAAGTAAAAAGTTAACTTTTAACTTTTTATCTATTTTGTGTTACATAACATTTCATAATTTTTACTTATAAAAAGATAAAATAGACTAAAAAAAATTAAGAAGTCAACTCTTTACTAACTTCTCAAAACGTCACTGTATCTCTATAAGTATTTAATTTTACTATTTTCACTAAAAATATAAATCATATACTAATACGAAATATGCAATTTAAATATTTTTTAAAATTTAATTTATGTAGATGAATATAGAATCAGGATCCTCTCCTTGCAGCCTCCATCCTTGCGCCCGTCCTTGCAGGCCTTCGGGTCTACTTTTAGACCCAATTTTGATAATCTGAACCGTTCATATTTTATGATTTATTCAGTATATCATACCTGTAAAAAATCAAGTTGATCGGATATCAGAAAGTATGTGTTCGAAAAATTGAACTAAAAACTATTTTTTAAATAATTTAATAAACAGTTTTCCAAACACATACTTTCTGATATCCGATCAACTTGATTTTTTACAGGTATGATATACTGAATAAATCATAAAATATGAACGGTTCGGATTATTAAAATTGGGCCTAAAAGTAGACCCGAAGGCCTGCAAGGACGGGCGCAAGTACCAGGCTGCAAGGAGAGAACCTTGGCTCGATGAATATGGCCTTTATCGAAGGTGACACATGTAAGTACACACTGTATAAAGCAAGAACCCTAATCAAGTGGTTTATGACGTACCAAAGTAAACCATTTTAACGGCTGTGATTGATTGATCGATTTCACAACCCTCAAAACCGTATTCCATCATCTCACACAGAAACCATCCTATCCATATACAACGCCACGTGTACGGTCCATAAAATTCAACCATACTGGATAACAATAGACGGGACCACACCAGATCATTCGTCGTAGTATAAAAAGGCCCGAACTCTCATTTCCAATACTCAACCCAACACACAGGTCCTTTTCTTCTGCTTCTTCTTCTTCTTCTTCTTCGTCTCTTTTCTCCGGCGAGGATTCGCCGGAAAACTACTCCGGCGGTGGCTCTGGGTAAACCCTAGTTAAACTCAATTCTATTGTTAGGGCTTCATTTTCTTTTGTATCTATCGTTGATTCAATTTCACAACTACTCGGTTTGATCGTTAACTCTCTCTATCTCTGTGATCGATCGTTCAATGCATGTTATGTATATATATGTGTGAATGTATTTTTAATCGAAATTTGGTTCAAATCGAGTTTTGAACTTTAATGCTTGTTTATGATTTTTTTTTTTCTTACTAGGTTTTGGTTTGTTGTTTGTAGATTGATTGAACAGAGCTTTGAGCTTGGGTTCTATGGTGTTTTGAATGGTTTGTGGCAATGCCTTGCAGAGGCGAAATGGTTTCGGGAAGAAGTGTTGAAGGAGTTTGAAGGATTGTGAAGGGGCGATTTTGGAGTGTGGTGACTCTGTGAGTTTACTTGAATCGAAAGGACGAGTGGGTTTAACTGGCGTGAAAATGGTGGGTTTTAATGCTTTTTCTATGCTAATGCTGTGCTTTTTTGGGCAATTTATTTATTTATTTTTATAGTCCTTAGTTTCTTTTGTTGGTATGCTCGAACAATTATGGTATTTGTGTGAATGCTTATCTTGTGTATTATTTGCAAGTTTGGTTGGTGTTTTTGAATAGACTTAAATTGAATTTCTATCTTTGAAAGATTATAGATTTCCTACATTTAACTCTGGAAAAATTCCATATGTTGACAGGGTTGGATTACCTTGTCTGGGTGGTCTTTCAGATTTAATCGTGAGATTGGTGGTTGAAACTCTTTATTTTTAATTAATCTAGTATAGGCAATCAATTCAATTTAGAATGTTATGTAATGGTGATTCAAGTTATTACTCTATTTGTTCTTTTTCTTTTTCTTTTCTTTTTTATTTTTTAAAAACTTTTTTGAGTTACATTTGAAATTTTTTATTTGCACAGCCAACATACTTGGTTACTAAACTAGGTAGACGGATGGCAATTTGAGAATCTTCTTAATCCCTTTATTCTTGGTAATTTACCTTGTTGTTTATGGGTGTATACCTAATTTGATAGATTTTGGAAAGTTGCTCATTCGTCGTATTATTTTGTTGATTATTTACAAGATTTGAGCTTCATTGATGGTAGGAAATTTATTTTATTGCCTGTGTTCCTCTTGTGTTCTTGAATTACTACCCATCTGTTGCGTAGAATAGTTAGAAAAGAAAGTAGAGTTAGTTTGATATGGAAATGGAATATAAAATCAACCATTTATACATATGTTTTTTAAGTTCTTATGTACTTAGTATGCCCATAAAATTGTGTTAGATGCTTGAAGGACTCTAAAGGTAAGAATTACTTGGACGTTTGTGAACATTAAACCATCATATTCAAAATACGGGTTGCTGAGGTATGGAGAATGATAATGCAAATTTAAGGCGTTACTTGATTTAATTTAACAGGTTAATTATGAGTATATGTGTATTTAGACTGCTCTGCTCAAATGTGAATGATAGCACAGGGTTCATGACATGTTCCGTTCCATTTGGGGTGCCCTGATTAAGTGTGAAGCAACCAAACGGAGCGAGAAACGAAGATGCTGTCAGTTTACCTTTGTAGAACTTTGAGGATTATTTGTGTAGACACCTTTGTTTACTATGTACAAAGTTTCAAGACATTAGGATATTTATGACCATAGCTCTTCAATGGTGGGATCATAACTCTTTGAAAGAGAAACTTCTACCGGTGAAAATTACCGAATATAATTTGCTGTGCGAAAAATGGCATTGGGATATTGTGGTTGGAAAAGGTTCATAGTGTACTATTTTTGTGTTAAATGAGGTGTCATGTTATAGTAATCCACAAAAGCTAGACAAGGAGATGAGCCTTGTGGCTGTGAACCTTTTGGCTGTAAAACCCACGACAACCAGGGCCTTGCTTTTTTGGTTGAGGAGAAGTGAGGATGAGTCAACAAATTATTTCCAGGCTTCGCAGTAATGAAGGGCAGCTAAAACAGAAAGGAAAGAAAAAAAAAGGAAAAAAAATAAAATAAAAAGAGCAACAAATTCTTCAAACATTTGGCGTCAACCTGGTAAGGAACACACAAATAGAGGTTTCCCTAGTTTACGTGAATCGACAACCCATTATGAAAATATTAATAATTTCTTTGACTTTATCGCTAAAGCTATTGGAACTATTTATGTCTCAAGATTTTTCTACAGCTTCTATTTTTGTAGATATTTATGGCATACGCATACAAATTAATGCTTCCTTCTTGCCTTGGGGTATAATATATTAATATCTACCACAAGTTTTACCGTATTTATTATTTAGAGTCTGGACAATTAGATGGGCAGTTATTGCCTCAAAAGGATATGTTTTATTTTCCTTCATATTTTACTATGTTGCATGGGGTTCGGTACAAAAGTTGGCCATTAGTGTTTGTCGGTATTTGATGTGGACATAATTAAATTTTGGAAGTCTCCAACTTTTATCCTACTAAAGTGCTGGGAGAAATGAATTCACAGTGTAACATTGAATGTCTGGTGTGGGATACTTTGCTTATACCAAAAATTCCCATGCAACAAGTATTACCTTGAGGATCACAAGGAAAAATGATATTGGAAGAAGGATGGGGTAAGAGAGCAACTATGCAGCTAACTCCCTAAAGAAAATTGAAATGGGTTGTTTCCGGACAATTGGCATGTTCTATTGACGATACAATATATATATTTTGTGCTTGGCTGATATTATTGAAGTATCCTTTCAAACGTAAGACCCTTAAAAAGGTAACATCTTTGCAAATATGAATGCTTTATATTTTCAATTGAAAAGTAAAAATTATGTTGCAAGTTGCAACAACCATTTATAAAATCATAACAAAAGAAATAGCAGCTGCCTTATGTTGTTTCCTCTCTGGTTGGCTTCCTCCTCTCCTCCTACCCCCTTCTCTTTTCTCCATTCCCCTTCCCTTCTGTCTTTTCTCTCCTCCCTTTCTTCCCTTCTACTCATTTCTTTCTTTTGAGTGACTGATCTAGGAGGGTTTTAGTGGGTCACTTGCCGGCTGGAGTGGATGCCGCCGTCCCCGGTGGTCTTTCTGCCTTTCTCTGTATCCCTTGCCTCAGTTTATATGTTGGTGCTGTCAAGGTTTGAACTAAATATGTAGCTTGATAAAAGAAAAAAAAATTACATGAGTCATCTCAAGTGTTAGACAAAACTTAGATGTGTTACAATATATACTAATCCAAATTTGTTGTAATAATGCATGCATAGATTGCCATTCTTTTTTCCAATGATTGCTAGTATTATTTAATCTTGAAATATTGCTGGTCTTGAATAATTGGAAATACTAATAACAATAATTTGATGTCATTGTTCAGTTTTGTTGTGTTTTACTGTGTAATGTTATGATGTATGTTCTCATTTATCTTGGTTTGGACTGATTTTTTGGTATTCATATATTTGTTTCTGATTTCAAATTTTAATACCGGTGGGGCCTCTAGACATTGTGGCCAACAGCTATACGTAAGATAAATCACAAGTGTAAGCTGTCTTGTCAAGGTGTTATTGCACCTTTTCAACTCTTTCTTCTGAGCTGTTGATTCACCTTGTAGGATCTTGACAATGCTGTTATGGCCTTCAGTATTTCCACAGCTATAGCACTCCAATAGATAGGTTTCTACATACTTGGGTGTATTCTTTGTGTTGGCTTGCTTTACATTTACAATTGACCCTCAATCCCTGCCCTAGCATAAGGCCCATACCTTTTGTCCACCTACAGACCCCTGAAAGAAAATATAGAATTGTGCTTGAAATTTGAGCCTTGCATGATTCACTTGTATGGAAAATCTATGACTTCATTTTTGTTGTGGATTAAATATTTGGAATCCATTCAGTAAACCCTTTTTTTTTTTTTTTTGATCAGTAAAAGGGAAAAATTATTCAAATAAGGGACAGCTTATGTCTTATATTTCTTTTCCCCAAAACAAAGATAGCCTAAAATATAAAGAAAGTCACATTTCTAAAACTAGTTTACGGGAACAACGCATAGCTTATAAGGCAAAAAAAGATGCATCACAATCGAGGAACCTGATTTTACTAGGGACCATGTTGTCTGGATGTTGGCTGTGAGGTTCATTCAATCCCTTAGTTGAATGAACATGTACTCAATGGGTTTTATTCTTCCAGAAAATCTTTCGATCTGACAATACATTGATGCTTCCTGTTATTTTCTAGCCACGATAAGTGGACAAATCCAGTCCATCAAGCGCTGCATATTGGGAAGTGTCAATGTGAATTGCTGTCTTTCATGTCACATAACGTAGATATATAAATGATAACTACTTAACAAAGTAGGTGTCATGTGTGAAAACCATTTACAGAAATTATGCTCCAAAGCAAGACTAAGGTGATTTGAGATTATGGTATACTCAGTCTGCTTCTCTAAGAAAGCATATAGTTTCTTTGGCAGTTGAGATTTGAATTAGATTCTTCTTCTTTTTCTTTTTACTTTTCATTTGGGTCATATATGTGAAATGTTGATTAAATATTCACATGTCTGAATTTTGCTTTACCATCTTTAATTTTGCAGTTAATATGAATTTTGTACCTTTTCTGTTTAGGTTGTGTTTGAATTTTGGATTTGGGTAGGATGTGTGGAGGCAGAGCAAAAGAGAAGGGAATTGTGACAAAATCAGCTTCTATGTTGATCACTTTTCCCTTATATTTTCCTTTCCCTTCACCATCCCCTACTCAAATCCAAGATCCAAGCACAGCCTTAAAATTATTTGAGGATTGTAATTTTTTCATCCTTTATGTTCGAAGAACTCATTTTTTTTTGTGATCTAGTAACTCCTGTTACTAAATTAAGATGTTACTCAATTAAGATGCTAAGTACATATTTTTGGCAGTCTTTTCAGAATAAGAGCTTTTGGATGCCAAGGGATGCAGGTTGTCTAACTGATGGAGACATAAATTATGATACTTCGTCAAGAATTGAACCAAAGCGTGCTCACCAGTGGTTCATGGATGCTTCTGAACCAGAACTATTCTGCAACAAGAAGCAAGCGATAGAAAATGTCAACAGCAGAACAATGTCAGAAATTCCAAATGCAAACATTTCTCTATGGGATAACAATTCAAGTTTTCAGACGGTCCCAGGGCAGTTTACTGACCGCCTATTTGGATCTGAGATTGCAAGGCCTTTCGATCTTATTGATAAGAGCATTCCTGATGTTGGTACAGGGAGCTCAAATGTTGAAAGAAGGGGTTTTGAGGATCAATTTGGAAGCAATTCCTCAGTCGGTTTATCTATGTCCCACACAATGGAAGATCCCTCATCGTGTCTCAATTATGGAGGAATTAGAAAAGTAAAAGTCAATCAAGTTATGGACTCTGAAAATGGCATGTCTGTATCAATGGGACACCCCTATACTAGGGGGGATAACAATACTATTTCGATAGGCAATGCCTATAATAAGATTGATAACAACATCTCACTGGGCACAACTTACAATAGTGGGAACGAGGGTACCATTTCAATGGGCCCTACCTTTAATAAGGCGGATGACAGTTTTATTCCGATGGGTCACACATTTAACAGAGGAGATGGCAATTTTATGTTGATGGGTCATAATTTTGACAAGGGAGATCCCAGTATCTTATCAATGGGTCAGCCCTTTGACAAGGGAGATGATGGTTTCATAACAATGGCTCATCGATATGAGAAGGGAAATGGCAATATCATATCTGCTGGTCCTGCTTATAACAGGGGGCAGGAGAATTTCAATTCAATGGGTTCTGCCTATGACAAAGCGAATGAAAATTTCATTTCAATTGGTTCTTCTTATGACAAGGGGGGTGATAATATCATATCCATGGGTCCAACTTCTGACAAGGCAGATACTAGTGTTGTATCAATGGGTATCAACTATGACAAGGGAAAGTCCAGCATTCTATCTATGGGACAGAACTACAAGAAGGGTGAGAGCAGTACTATATCTTTTGGAGGCTATCAGAATGAACCTGAAACAAATCCCTCAGGTGGAATCATTAGTGGCTATGATTTGTCGGCAAGTCAGCCCTATGATCAAACTTCGAATGCACCTGGACAGCAAGAATCGGTTGAGCACAATACTGGTCTAGTTGCAAGTGTTGCTCCTGCAACAGCTTCTAAAACCAATGCCAACCCGAAGAATAAGGAGCCAAAGCCACCTAAGAAAGTCCCTCCCAATAACTTTCCTTCTAATGTCAAAAGCTTGTTATCAACTGGGATGCTTGATGGAGTTCCTGTGAAGTATGTTTCCTGGTCACGGGAGGTGAGTTTTTAATTCTTGTTCTTGTTTCTGCATGGTATTTTCAAGGGTAAATTTTACTGAATTCCTTTGAGGTTTGGAGAAAAAACAGTAACCTCCCCATATTAGTATAATTACATTGTGCTCCTTTAAGGTTTTAACTCACATAAAATTTAGCTCCCCTTTTCATCAGTAATTTGTTAGTCATATAGATAGAAAATGATGTTATTTTACTTTGTTTATCTTTGTATCTTCATATCATCTGCATTAATCCCGATCCTTTTAGCCTTACTAAAAGGGAGGTCAGTGTACTTATATCAAACCTGTTTGACTTGCTGCGTTTTCTCCATACCTCAAGGGAGGTTGGTGTAATTTATCGTATTTTTAATTATCCTGACACTAGCTTATTTTTGTTCATCCAGAAAAATCTTAAAGGAATTATAAAAGGGACTGGTTATTTGTGTGGCTGCAAAGATTGCAAGTTCACCAAGGTATGATTGTTCTTTGTTTTATTTCATTTTTTTGAGGTTTGTTTGAATGGCATTCAAATTGTTGTATGCAGGCCCTGAATGCTTATGAGTTTGAGCGTCATGCTGGCTGTAAGACCAAGCATCCGAATAATCACATTTACTTCGAGAATGGAAAGACCATCTATGCAGTGGTCCAAGAGCTGAAGAGTAGTCCTCAGGAGATGCTGTTTGAAGCAATTCAAAATGTGACTGGATCTCCCATAAATCAGAAGAATTTCCGCATATGGAAAGGTGAATTTTATTTTTCTGGTTAAAATACCACCCCTTTTTGAAACAAACATTGTTGTGACCCTTTTCTGAATTTAGATCAGTTAAACTGAAGACTTTTGTATTCATCTTTTTGTTCTTTTCAGCATCATATCAAGCTGCAACTCGCGAACTTCAGCGTATCTATGGGAAGGATGAAGTGATCGTGCCATCTTGATTTGTGAACTTGGCCTTTTTCAAATTTGTGATCTGTGAATAGGTTGCCTACACCAATATGGTGAACTTGTGAATTTGGTTTGGAAAATTTTAGGTGTTTTGGTGAGAGAGAACTGCTTCTTGCTATTTAGCTTTGAACCTTTTCATATAGACCTTAATTTTATTGTGGCTTTTTTGGACATGATTTTGGCTCTTAGGAAGAGAGTTTGACTTTGAATGTGTTGGAAATGTGAAATTTGGATTAAAGCAATCAATCAACTTCCTGAGTTTAGTCATGGTGTCATGAGCTCATGATCTGTTTGAGCAACAGGATGGTGTGTTGAGAACAAAGGAAATAAATATGTGGCCTCCACTCCACATGCCAATTTGGGAAGTAGCAATTTACAGGATGTTCTAATTAGAACATAAGATGGGTGAGTATTGGTTTGGATCATTCCTTGTAGTAGTATGCACATCGACGAAGTATAAGAACTCCTCACAGTCCGCATGTGAGGTGCAAACAAAAATTTCTCTTAGATGGAAGACAATGTGCTTGTTATCTTACTGAAGTTGGAGCGTTATTTTACTACTTTTTGTGGTTCGATCTGCAGTAGTATCTTGTATATGAATGTTTTTAGTATGCAGGCATAGTCGTGAATCTGTCGGTTAGACCACCTTCTTGTGCTGCAGGACTGGAGTAACTACGGTATGTCAGTTGCTGTAGCTAATTCAAGCAATAGATTCTGTCCTTCTTTCTTTTTTTTGTCCGTTTTTTCTTTTCTTTTCTTAATAAAATTATCTAGTTATAAACTAGTTTCCACTGTTATGTCGTGTTTATAATTATAGTTAACTAGTGTTTTTTTTCTTTTCTTTTTTTTCCCAATTATTTATTGTTATGTCTTGTTTATGATTAACCGGTTCCCACTGGTCTTTTGTTTGGGGTCCCAAGGTAAATATGGGGTGAATTTCCCTGTGTATTTCTTCTTTAGATTGGTCCAACAATCACGAATCCGTTTAATTATATCCATTTGAAATTCGTTGGTGTTACATATACCAATTAGTATATTAACTAGTGTAATAATATATGTTATGACATTATTATTGAGTTCACTAATTATACGAATTATATATATCAAAAGACCTTTTAAATTATGCCACATAATCAATTGGTATACTAATAGGTATCTTAATTGGTACATATAATATTATTCTTTGCAGTTTGTTTTAATTTCTTAAATTCATAAATGAGTTTAAATAAGTTGCACCTAGATGTAAACTTTTATGTATACTAACAAATAATAAAATGAAATGCTCAATTGAAGTGGTGAATTATTTGAAAATAATGTATTATTATATTTCTTAAAAGTATAGGTTATTTATAGAATTTAGTTAAGTACACCAGTTAGGATTGTCTTTGGAGAAAGGAATTTTTTGAAATTTTTGTTTAAATTTTACCTTCTAGTAATAAGAGGTTTGATATATAATTATATTTTACGATCTAAATGTTTGAATTCATATATAACATAACTCATTTTTTATCAGATATATGTTAATTATAAAGATGAAATAAATGTTATCATCTCTTTCATATTAAAATAAAAATATATTTTGATAAAATTGTGATTAAATCAGTAAATCAGTTAAACTGAAAAAGGTTCAGCTAATCGGTTATGTCAAAAGACCATTCAACTTATACAAAAATTAATTAATTAAAACTTTTAATGCTATTTTAATTTTAAAATTTAAACTATCTTGAACTGAAACATGCATAACATTATAATATTAAATAAGAATATATTAATATATTAAACAAGAATATAAGGTTAATTTTATATAAGTGAAATAACTTATTTTTTCATTCTTTTTCTGTTGTGTTATAATTTTGTATATGAAACATAAGTATTTGTCAAATAGAGTCGATATAACATTGGTTTTTATGTAGAACTTAAATGGAAAAGGCATGCTGATGTGGATTTGAAAAAAGAAAGCCTTTAGATTTTGCCATCTAAGCAAGAAAAAAATAATATTTTTAATAATATATATTAGTAGGTGACCTGTGCAATGCACGGGAATTTACTTTTAAAATGAAAAATTAATTTTGAAACTTAATACTTTACGTGTAAAAAATTTTAAAAATTAAAAGTTAAATACAAACAGATTTGTTAATGGTTGATGAAAATTATTGTCATTGTGTGTGATCTTATGTAAAATAGGCTCATAAAAATAATATCTTTCAAAGTTAAAAGAAAGTGTATTCTCAATCTGAAATCAAATCCTCATTTGTGTTAATCAAATTTATCAAAAATTATGAATTCCACTTGTATCAAAATATTTTTTCTGAAAAAAAATAAAAATGAAAAATTATATAATATACAAATTATAACTTGGCCATAACTCATGGTGTATTATTTTGGTTATTAATCGAAAATGTCTTTGCTTATTTCTTATGTTTTTAGTTATGTCTAAAGTGGTGCATCAAGTTTTCAATTATGCTTAAAGTGGTGTTTGATTATGATCTATTGTAATATTTTTATATGAAAATATTTAAGTATTTTTTTATGCGAAAAAGTGTTTGAGGTGGGTTAATTCAAATGCAAGATTTATTTTTATATTAGTAAGATTGTAAGAATTATTCACATTGATAAATAAAAAATTATAAATTCAAATCATAAACAGTGTTCTCAAAGAGAATCAAACACAAAATCTCTGTAACCTTAATAATTTCAGTTCTCAAAACGGTTCTAATTAATTATGTGACACATTATAATAATTGTAAGATTTTTATTCCAGTCAAATTATTTTTGCATATATTTTCTGGCAAAACTCATGAAGGTGCATTATTAGTAATATTATAAATTTAAAATTTTTATTTCAAAATTATTCAAGAAATATCAATAGGATTTAAAATAAAATTTAAATTTAAATTACTTATTTTAATAATCTTAGCCTTATCGTTCTATAAAAATGTTACTTGAATACTTATATATAATAAATTTAGTTAAATTATTTGTTTATTTTGATAATTTTAGTTTTATTGTGCTATAAAACTGTAATTATCATATAATGATTTTATATGATATATATATATATATATATTAAATTATAAGATAGTAAAATAAACACTCATTTTGGTATTAAAAATAATAGTTAAATTAGAAAGAGAATTAGTAATATAAAACTAAAAGTGATTCTAATTATTTAATTTTAATTTTATTTTTATATTTATTTGGAAAATAAAAATATGTTGAAATAGAGTTACACAAAATTTATTTAAAAGATTAAACATAAATATGTTGTGATTGGATTAAGAAGAAAACACGTAAATTATATTGATTTTTTTCTTTAATATTCTTTTTGAATTATTCATACATATTGTATATAGGTATATAAAATTTAAATTAAATATAAATATAAATATTTTGTAATAAATAATTTCATTAAATAAAAATTAATATTAAGACATCAATAAGATAGACAAAAAATAAAAATATAAAAGAAAATTAATTTGATTCTTGCGATGCACATAATTAAGCATATTCTGTCTTATTTATTTGTATATCGAGATAATTTTTTTTTCAAATATTATAATAATTAAATTAAAATATCAATTATATAAATCAAACCTGACAATGACAAAGCTAGATACACAATGAAAAATATATGAAAAATAAATATTTCTCAAATAGTGTCCACATAAAATTGGTTATTATAATTGAAATTGAGTTTGTACAGAACTTTATATGTAAATAGAAAATACATGTCGATGTGGCTTTTTTAGAAAAAAATAAAGTTTTAGAATGTGCCACTTAAGTAAGGAAAAAATGCTATTTTTAATAATATATATATATATATATATGTATGATATGATGTATATTTATCTTTAATTTTCTCTGAGACACTAGCTACATTAGTTCGGTTGATTTTAGGGTTATTCTATTATGTTTAAGCTTTACAGTCTAATTAAAAAGCTATTAAAATTTAAGGTATTTAGATCTAGGAATGACAACGGATCGGGGTGGGATCAGGGATTACACTCCACGTCCCTGATCCCTAAATGTATAAAATTTTTCGTTCCTGCCCCCGATTCTCGGCAAGGAATCTATCATCTATCATCTCCCCGTACCTTAATATGGATCGGGTTTCCCTGACCCCGGAAAATCCCAATACAAAAACAACAAAATCATTAACATCAACATCAACATCATCAATAACAACATAATCAATATCATCAATAGCAACATCATCTGTGTATCTGAGTGTGTGTCACAAATAGAGAGAGAGAGGTTTGAGAGAGAGAGAGAGATCTGCTCAGATTTGTCGTGGCGGAGGGAACCGATGCCAAAGTATGCAAGTTTGGCGACTCTGGTATCGCACTACAACAAAAATAGTCTTTAGAGACGAAAACTAATGACAAAATTTTTTTTGTTACGATAAACGTATCTTTTAATGACGAAAATCATATTTCGTCTCCAAATGTACCATTTTTGGAGACAAAAATAAAATTTCGTCACCAATCTTAATCATAATAAAAAAATTAGGTGATGAAATTATTTTTCGTCATTATTTATAATTTTTTTTGTCACCAAATATTTTCCCGCTAATATTTTCGGAGGGTGCCAAACTTTTGAGACTTTTAGTGACGAAAAAATTAGTCACTAATTATAAAATTATTAATGACGAATATATTTTTGTCACCAATAATTTTTAATATTTTAATATTATTTAGTGACAAAACGATTTTTGTGGCCAATATTTCTATCTTTGGTGAAGAAATAATTTTGTTACTAATAAATAATTTAGTTACTAAATATTTAGGGGGGAAAAAAATGTTTTGGCACCAAAGAAATAATTTTGCCACTAATAAATAATTTAGTTACTAAATATTTAAGGGGGGAAAAAATGTTTTGGCACCAAAGAAATAATTTTGCTACTAATAAATAATTTAGTTATTGAATATTTAGGGGGGAAAAAAAATGTTTTGGCACCAAAGAAATAATTTTGTTACTAATAAATAATTTAGTTACTGAATATTTAAGGGGGAAAAAAAATGTTTTGGCACCAAAGAAATAATTTTGCCACTAATAAATAATTTAGTTACTCAATATTTAGGGGGGAAAAAAAATGTTTTGGCGCCTCAAACACCCACAATAATTTATCGGTTCAAACCTATTTCACACACACACACACACACACACACACACACACACACACACAGAGGCGACGCCGCTGCTCACTCTCCTCATCGATTCAGACACAGATTCATCGCCGATCGGCTCACTCTGCTCACCGCCGTCACCCTCTCCTCACCATCGCTGATCTGCTGTAAGTAATGGCGCAAGCGCATAACATTTGTTCATACTCGAAATGTTTCCTTTTCTCCTTTTCATTGCTTGAAATGTTTCCTTTTCTCCTTTTCATTGCTTGAAATGTTTCCTTTTCTCCTTTTCATTGCTTGAAATGTTTCCTTTTCTCCTTTTCATTGCTTGAAATGTTTCCTTTTCTCCTTTTCATTGCTTGAAATGTTTCCTTTTCTCCTTTTCATTGCTTGAAATGTTTCCTTTTCTCCTTTTCATTGCTTGAAATGTTTCCTTTTCTCCTTTTCATTGCTTGAAATGTTTCCTTTTCTCCTTTTCATTGCTTGAAATGTTTCCTTTTCTCCTTTTCATTGCTTGAAATGTTTCCTTTTCTCCTTTTCATTGCTTGAAATGTTTCCTTTTCTCCTTTTCATTGCTTGAAATGTTTCCTTTTCTCCTTTTCATTGCTTGAAATGTTTCCTTTTCTCCTTTTCATTGCTTGAAATGTTTCCTTTTCTCCTTTTCATTGCTTGAAATGTTTCCTTTTCTCCTTTTCATTGCTTGAAATGTTTCCTTTTCTCCTTTTCATTGCTTGAAATGTTTCCTTTTCTCCTTTTCATTGCTTGAAATGTTTCCTTTTCTCCTTTTCATTGCTTGAAATGTTTCCTTTTCTCCTTTTCATTGCTTGAAATGTTTCCTTTTCTCCTTTTCATTGCTTGAAATGTTTCCTTTTCTCCTTTTCATTGCTTGAAATGTTTCCTTTTCTCCTTTTCATTGCTTGAAATGTTTCCTTTTCTCCTTTTCATTGCTTGAAATGTTTCCTTTTCTCCTTTTCATTGCTTGAAATGTTTCCTTTTCTCCTTTTCATTGCTTGAAATGTTTCCTTTTCTCCTTTTCATTGCTTGAAATGTTTCCTTTTCTCCTTTTCATTGCTTGAAATGTTTCCTTTTCTCCTTTTCATCAATGATTTTCATGAATTTACCATTGTGCATAAACAGAACCATTTTTAAGATCCAAGTAAATTTAGAAATGTGAGGTTCAGCCCGCCAAGTCATAATATTTAGGGGTACATGCAGGTGGGAGAAGGAAAAAACAGTTACCTACACATGAGGCTGTAACTTGCATCCACACAGCCTTTTATTTGCACCTCATCACAAATACACTTGCACTCCCATGTGTTTGTAATTTTTTTCCCCATTTCCCTCCATGTAGTTCCCCCTAATATCTATTTGCTCTTTTAATCGTTTTTGGGGCAGTGATTGTACCTTTTTTTTTTTTTACACGAGGTGCGTAGGTCGCGCAAGCTGGTTGGTTGAGCACACAGGGCAGATCTCATATACGGTGTTGCCATGTAACCGTGATGGAAGAGGAGGTTCGGTTATGGAATTTGTGGCAGCGGAGTCAAGGTATGTGTTTGTGATATGTGTTGAAAAACTCCCGCGGGCAGCGAAGGCAAGGTTGCCGGCCGGCTGCCCGCCGGAAAGAAAGGAGTATAGGCCTAAATCTTATAGCTCTGATACCATGTAAGAATATATTGATAGAGATAAATTGTATGTATAATTGATTGATCTATAGATATGTTACAATGATTCCTATATATAGAAGAGTAGGTGGTAGTATGTGGTAGGTGGAGTAGGTGAAGTGGAGGTGGTAGTGGTGTAGTGGGTTAGGTTTAGTGGAGTAGGTGAAGTGGAGGTGATAGTGGTGTAGTGGGTTAGGTTTAGTGGAGTAGGTGAGGTGGTAGTGGTGTAGTGAGTGGATTTTAACAGTCTGTCATATTTTCAGCTTCATAAATTCAAATTGCAGGTATGTGAGAGAACAAAACACTTATTAGTACTAACAGCAGCAAGGGAGTCATTCATAACAAGAAAAGAAGGGGACAAATAACAATCCACCAATTTAAAAAATTGAAATGCATAAATATTTACATAAGCAGAAGAAAAAACTGTACACATAGCAAGGAACATATCTTCACATTTAAGTAAATTGCATAAATATTTCAAAATTGACACAACAAATTAGAAAAGGAGAGAGGTTTTCATACATGGTAAGTAACTGAGTTACATTAGTATGCTGCTTTGCTAATCTACAAAATACATCTACAGTCATATTCAAGGCCGTTTCTTTTGCCTGCATGGACCCAAAAAAAACACCATTAACTGTAAGAATTTCAAAACCTAATAAAAAAAAATTCTAAAAAATAATACTTTTATAAAGTAGATTGTATACCCAAAAAGCTAAAAAATAATACTTTTGGGCAAACATAGTGAAACTGTCCATCCAGGAATTAGAAAATCAAATGTAATATATGATTAATGCAAGACATAATTATGTTAAGCATCAATGATCATCAATCCTAATTGGATTTAAAATATATGCAATACAGGAACATCATCTCTTTTAAGAAGAGGATCTCTTGTCTTGATTTTTTTTCCATGGAAACCTTCACTACTCTACAATATGATTTAAAATTTTTGCGTGAAATATTAATTCAAGGGATTGGAACTTCCTTGTTATGAAATATTTGGAGTTAAAATATATGCATTACAATTCGAAACATTGGGATTATGTTTTTCTTCTTTTATTTAATGGTGAATAATTATATTGTCTATATTTTTTAATTAAAGTTGAATTATGTTATATAGTTGTAGAAAATGGTCGGAGGAAAAAGACAATGGCTGAAACCAGGTGATTTGAGAACTAAGAAGCTAACAGAATATGAGAAACAAAGAAATAAGCGAATCAAGAAGAACTATGAGGTAATGAACAATCTTGGAGTGAAGAATATTACAAATTCTTTGATGAGTGTGGTTCAGCCCAAATGTGCAAATGCAAAGGAAAAGGGAATTAGGGTTGAGGTAGATGATGATGATGAGTATAATCCGTCAGGGAGTGAGAACGATAGTGATAACGAGTCATTGGGTTCCTTTTATTGCAAGGTATTATATACATTATTTTATATTTGTGTGTGAACATATCATTTACTATTTAAATATCTTCTTCATATATCTTAAACATCATATCTTTTTTAAAATATATTTTAACTGTGTTAAATATCTTGTTTACTATTCGATTATGTTATTTCAGGAACAAGAGATGCCACCGGGGTTACGTTTACAGCCTTATTCGAGGCCATTAACTCCCACCCCAGAAGAAGGGATGGATCCCCCACGTCAAGAGATTGGTACCCAACCCTAACCACCTCATAATGTGCAACCTGTGCATGAGGTGACTGCATCTAGTAGTGTTGGTAAGTTTGCAAAGTTGTTTATATTTAATTTAAGGTCTAACTTGCATTTGTTTACTTATTAACTCGCGACAGTAGCAGGAAGAGAGAGAGAAAGAGTGAGAAAGAGAGAGAGAGAGAGAGCCTTGCCTTGCGATCTTCTCCGTTCCTTGCCTTGCCAGTCTTCTCCGCTCGTCTTTGCTCACTGATTCGGTGCTCTCTCTCTCTCTGTCTTTGCTCTCTGTTCACTTTCTCTCTCTCTGCTTTCTCTTTGCTCTCTCTTTGTTTTTTATTCTATTGTTTGATGGTGGATAGAGGAGTATATATATGAATGGATATAGGGGTATATGTATGTAATTTTAGTTCGAGGGGAAACGAGGACGGGGATGAAAATGGGATGGGGCCGGGGTTGGAAAATGTATAACCGTTCCCGCCCTGAAAATTGTCGGGGATTTATTTTTGAATACTATCCCCGACCCGTCGGGGGTATTTTTCAGAAAAAAAATGTTATAATCTAGATTTGGGGGGTCAGTCCCTATCGGATCGGTTTTAAATTGCCATCCCTAATCAAATTACAGACAAACAAACGGAGCACAAAGGTTGTCCATATTTGTGCCAATTAGTGGGCTAAATTAATAAATTCAGTTAGGACTGGTCCTTAACCCGTGGGGGTGAATTTGTGTCCATTCAAGTGGAGGGCCTTTGAGGTTGTTGAACTTAAGATATTGGTATAAGGATAGAAAATATTTTTCAGAAAATATTTTTACATTTTTTGTCGTTTAGTACAACAAAAAATAAAAGTTAATAAAAAATATTTTTTATGATCAATAGAAAATAAGTCTATTTGGACGAAATATATTTTTATTTTTAAAAAACGAAAAACGTTTTCCAAACAAAAGTGTTATCAGTGCTATCATATTACCACCACTACCATCATGTTGACCGCTGCCATGGCCACAACCACCATCAATACCGATGCCTACAACCATCACCACCACCATCTCTACTCATCTATACTATATATTAAGAAAAATAGAGTTTTTAGTGAGAATAGCTAAGAAAGCTCTAAGTGCTCAATCTAAATTTTGTGATTTTCCAATTTAAAAAATAATTATTAAAACACACTCAAACACTTTTTATTATTTTTTTTTAAAAACAAAGAATGCATTTTTCATTCCTAAAATTATTCATTCCTTACAGTCAAATAAAATAGTTTTTCAATCAAAATATAAATAATTAATAAATCGCACACTCAAGAAAGAAGGAGTTTTCCAATTAAATAATAATAATAATAATAATAATAATAATAATAATAATAATAATAATAATAAATCACACACTTAAAAATATTTCACCTAAAAATATTTTCTATTCTTCACCATAAAGCATAAGATGATATATATAATTAAAATTTCATAACATTTTTTTTCCCCTTGCATTGGTCATTACTATTCAAGGTACATATCAATCCTCATTATTTTCATACACACTAAATGTTTATATATATATATATATGTAGAGATTTACGTATATTATGATTGAGTAATTTACATTTATAATTTTAAATTTTAAATAATCTATACTATATATAATTCTAATTCAATAGGATTTCTTTAAGGTTCAAACTGTCAACTCAATTTTTTATATTTTTTTAATAATGAAAATACTAAGTATCATTATGTGTTGCATTTTAATTAGTTTATAATTAAATTCATATAGTTTTATATTAAACTCTTAAATTATGCCACCATAATTATCATTTCAAATTACTTCCTTAATTTATGTTTACCATACCAAATTTATTTTCAAAATTACTTCCCTAAGATTGCATTAATGCATGATTTTGATATATTCATACATACACATATGGAAAGTAATTAATTCTTTAACTTAAAATTTAAATATTATTGATTCTTTAACATATATAATAGTTATTCTAAATATTAATAAACAATGAGCTAATTATTTATATCTATACAGTATACTAAAATAACATTTTAACAACAAGAACTGTGAGAGCTCTAAAGGCTCAACTATTTGTTGACTTTTAAATTTTTTTAAAGAAGAAAAAAATCCATTGGTTACTATAAAATAAAATTTAAAATTTTAGTAACATTTATCAATAAACACAAATGATTTAGGAGAGTTTTTTTGATAAATCCACTTTCTAAGTGTTTTGTTCCATCTAGCCCAAAACGTTTTTGACTATTCCAGTAAGTCTCATACCTAGCAATTTGTCCAAAACACCCCTACACATTTTTGAGCATTTATTTCCATTCAAAACGTCACAGCACAAAAACATATGAGCAAATTGCAAAATATACGGCAAGGCTTTCAGAAAACCTTCATTTTCATACCAGTTCTCATCGTCTCATCGTTTGAATCCTCCATCGCGATTCTCAACATCTCTGCGTCCCACCATTGGGATAGAACATCTCTAGATGGGATTTATCAATAAAAAATTCATGATTTAGAGGTTTAAATTTTAAAATTCAAACTTTTAGTCACCAAGATAATTATAGTATATATCTATAATTTAGGGATTTTTTTTTCCTAAAATAAAAAACCTACTTAATAAACCCCTCTATAACTATATAGGATATTCAAAATTCCTTATAAAATGAACAACTTACGTAGGAAGCATGTCTCACTACTTTTATATAAATTAAGAAGATCTCTCAAACATATATTTCATTGCTTCCTTTTTACAAGAAAAAGCATCATCTCTACAATTTCATTTTATTTTTGCCTTCTTTGGAGGCTTTGTCTTTAGCTCCTTTAGATGCCTCCTTCAACTTCTATGCTAACTAACAAATGATTGTTGGCTTCAATGCTGCGATAGACAAAAGGGTGTCAAAACTTTTAAATTTTGTGCCTGGAATATATTTTGAGTTATTTTAATGGTATGTAGTAATGATTTGAGTTACCAGACTTTGTGACTATGATTATATTTTTTTGGTTATTCATTTGATCAAAAAAATTATGAGTTGTGATTGATTAGATCTGTTAAATAAATTATAAAAATTTGTATAATTTATTGATTCTATATATGTATTATTTAAAGTCAATAATTATATTTTTTATAATCTGATTTCAATTCTCTTTGAAATCTAAGGTATTACATTACTCTTTCTAATTTTTACACATTTTTTATTATAAAAAATCAAAAAGTCAATTAAAATAGCCACTTCCTAAACGGACTTTTAGTCATTGAAATGTGTTTTCTAGATGCATATATACTTTGTCATAGTTTATGCAAAATAATATCATAATACATTTCTCATCTATATACAAATTTCTTAAATTTATCAAATTTATTTTAATACCATTTGTTGCCCTGAAACAGCACTAATGTTATGTTGTGTTTGGTACACTGAAATGAAAGTATAATGGAATAAAATGATTATTTTTTAGCTTACTTAAAGAATGACCATTCCCTTATAATGTGATTAATGATCCATTTCAAGAATTTACTTCTCCCCACCAAATATTATATAGATATTTTTAGATAGTGATCCAAAACTCCTTTCAAACATTAATGTTGTGTTTGGTTCGTGGATTTGGATAGAAATTTTGAAAGGAAAATAAAAGAAAAAAAATGTGTGAAATATAGGTGAAATGTAATTATATCTTATTAGTATATGGTAAATTAAAATTACAAAACTTGTAAAACCAAGTGTATTTATATTTAATCGTAAATATAACTTTTGTAATTTATTATTTAATTTTTACGAATCAAATTATGACACGTATTTTATATTAAGAACTTAGAACACATTAGAATAAAAAAATCATTCTCTTATGTGTAACTCTAATAAAAATGAATAAAATTTAATTAATTATAAATCATTTTGCTACATATTTTAGATAAATTTTATGTTATTATTTAATTTTAAAAACTATTTTTTGATTATTTAATTATACCTGCGCAAAGTATGGGTAATTCGCTAGTTACTATTACTACCATCACCATCACTATCACCACCACTACCATCACACCACTACCGTTGTCATCGCCATTGCTGCTGCCGCACTACTACCGCCACCACCACACCCAAACGCCTCCACCTTACCGCTGCCACTACCACCACCACTAATATAACCGTTAATACATTAATTTTAAAAACGCAACTAAACATAAGAAAATGTTTTCTGAAAGAAAAGGCTATATTAGGAGGGATGGTGAAATGAATAAGTTCAATGATTTTATAAATACATTGGAGTTAATGGATGTCCCAATGATTGGGAGGAAGTATACGTGGTGCAATTCTCAGGAAGGGAGAGGTGGAGTAGATTGGATAGATTTTTAGTCAACCTAGACTGGTTAGAATGGTTTAGTTTCAAATTGTGGGGGTTACCTAGGTCATTATTTGACCACTGTCCAATATTATTAATGGAGGATGAGAGGGATTGGGGGCCTAAACTATTTAGATTTTTAAATGCTTGGGTTCTCCACCTTACCTTTATGAATAAGGTAAAATCAGTTTGGGACAGTACTTAGGTGGATGGATGGGCTGGGTTTAGATTAAAGGTTAAACTGAAAGTCTTGAAGGAAACACTGAAAGTATGGAATATTAAAGTGTTTGGGAATGTTGAATATGAGCTCAAAGAGGTAGAGGACGCAATGCATGCATTAGACTGGGTTGCTAAGGATAGGCCTATGAATGATATTGAAATATCCAGAAGAAGAGAGCTTAAATGGGAGATTTGGAAGCTGAGAAAAATAAAGGAATGGATTTGGGTGCAGAAATCCAGAATAAATTGGGCTTTAAAAGGAGATAGAAATACTAGGTATTTCCACATTTTGGCTACAAAGAGGCTGAGTAGAAATCTGATGGATTCCATCATAATCAAGGGTACGTCTTACAACAAACCTCAAGAAATGAAATGGGAAATTGCAAGGTATGTTGGAGAGGCATTTGTAGAAACTTAGAGGGTTAGACCGAAGATTGGTGGAGCTTTTAGGTTAATTCAACCCTGTCTAGCTGAGTTGAGGGTGAAAAAGTTTTCTGAATCAGAAGTATGGGTTACTATTAAGGAGTGTGATGGGAATAAAGCCCCTGGGCTTGATGGATTTAATTTGATTTGCATCCAAAAAGGATGGAGGATAATGAATGATGATATTCTCAAATTTATGGCAGATTTTCATGTGAATGAGAGGTTGGTGAAGGGCCTGAATGCTTCTTTTTTATCTTTAATTCCCAAAAAGGAAAACCCAACAAGAATCCAAGATTTTAGACCAATCAGTCTCATAAATTCCACGTACAAGATTCTATCAAAAGTCTTAGCTAGTAGATTAAAACAAGTATTACCAAATATCATTAGCTCAACACAGTCTGCATTCCTGAGTGGGAGAAGTATACTGGATGGGATTTTAGTAGCAAATGAAGTGGTAGACTGGTGGAAAAGATCCAAGGAAAGTGGGCTAATTTTAAAACTTGATTTTGAAAAAGCTTATGATACAATAAATTGGAGTTTTCTGTTTGATATGTTGGGCAAGTTTGGGTTGGAGACCAAATGGGTGAAATGGATGAGGTCTTGTTTAAGTTCAGCTACAGTATCTTGCCGCCTAGTTAATGGTTATCCATCCGAGGAAGTGTGTCCCCAAAAAGGGTTAAGGCAAGAGGATCCAATCTCTCCATTTTTGTTCATTATTATAGCTGAAGGGCTAAATATGTTGTTATCGAGGGCCAGAGAAATAAGACTGATAAAAGGGGTCATTATTGGTGATGAAGGATTGAAGTTATCTCACCTACAATTTGCTGATGACACAGTCTTATTTTGTGAGGCAGATTAGGTAGAGGTTTCAAATATGAAGAGAATTTTAAGATGCTTTGAAGTAGTTTCTGGGCTAAAGATTAATTATCACAAAAGTGCTATCAGTGGAGTGGGAATTGATGAGGCTAAAGTTGCTGATTTTGCTTCAAGATTAAATTGCACGAGTCAAAAACTTCCTTTTAAGTACTTGGGTACGCCTTTAGGGGCTAATCCTAGAAGAAAGCAATTTTGGAAACCTATGGTGGACAAGTTCAAGGCAAAATTAGCTGGATGGAAGAGAAGAGTGCTCTCATTTGCTGGTAGAGTGACACTAATTAAATCTGTGCTCTCGAACCTGTCAGTTTATTACATGTCCTTATTTAAGATGCCTCAAGGAATAACCAAGGAGATTGATAAGATACAATCAGCATTCCTATGGGGTGATTTTGATCTGAAGAGGAAGTTACACTCAGTGAAGTAGAAAGAAGCTACAGTGAGTAAGAATCTTGGAGGCTTGGGTATCAGGGACATTAAAGCAGTAAATGACAGTCTATTGGCCAAGTGTGGTGGAGGTTTGGGGTTGAAGATGATGCACTATGGAAGATTATGATTTGCAGAAGGTATGGTGATGAAGGCAGGAGATGGTTTCCTTTTCATATGGTTGATTGTAATAGCTCAAGGATCTGGAGTGATATACTATCAGTAGTTCATTCTAATCCTAGGTTCTTTAATTTTTTTATGGAAAGTGTTGAAATCAGAGTTGGGAATGGAAATAGGATTAAGTTCTGGGAGGATGCTTGGCCGGGTAGGCTCTGTTTGAAGGATAAATATCCAAGACTTTTTAGCATTTCTACTGATAAAGGGGCATCACTGAAAGACATGGTGGATAGAAAAGGTAATATTGATGATTGGATTTTCACTTTTAGAAGATTTTTACTAGTATGAGAGGAGGAGGATTTAAGAAAGTTGAAAGAGGAATTAGGATAAGGACCAAATTTGTGCCTAGAAAATTTGGATAACATTAGATGAAATGCTGATTGTTCTGGTTGTTTCAGTGTTAAGTCAGTTTTCAACTGGTGTGAGTTGCTTATTGGATCTAGGCAAAGGTTATCTGGTTTGATCTGGAACAATCCAACAGCTCCAAAAACACAGTTCTTTGCTTGGTCGGTATGGAAAGGGAGAAAAAAGACAATGGATTTTCTACATAAGATTAGGGTTATTGACACAAGAGTTGGATTATTTTGTGTTCTGTGTGGAACAGAGGAGTCGTCATTAAACCATATAATGTTGCACTGTCATTTTGTATGGAATATATGGTCTGGCATAATCAAATGGTAGAGAGTGCAATGGGCAGTGCCTGATATAGTGGAAGGTCTGCTTCAGTGGTGGAGTGGCTGGAAGTTTAAAAAAGGGGAATTACAGATATGGAAAACAATAACAGTAATAATTTTTTGGTCTGTTTGGAAGCACACAAATGATGTCATTTTCAATGAGGTTCAGCCCAATAGTGAAGATCTGTGTGAGCTTATCAAGGTTAGAGTGGCCATGTGGTTGAAGTCAAATATAGTGGGAAGAGATTATTCAATTTACCAGTTTGTTTCAAACTTAATAGATTAGGAGATGTATCAAGTGACGGGTACTGGTGTTTAAAGAAAAGAAGATGTGCTGTTGTTGAGTGAACTTCTGGGGTGAAGTAGTGGAGGTGTTAAGCTGAGAATGGCTACTGATTAGACAGTGCTTGAGGTGAAGGGTGAATTTCTGGTTTTGTCTGGTATTTCTACTCTGTTGCTGGTTTGTCTGCTGGGTAGTTTTGCTATCTTTGGATGCTGCTAATGGTAATGGTTGCTGTAGTGCTATTCTTAGTATTGGGTTGATGCTAGTTGCTGCTGATTGTTGCTGCTGTAGAGTTGTTTTGGTGCTGTGATGTTTTTGGTGTTGTTTTGATATGCTTATTGTTGTTTGTGTCTTGGTTTTTGAAAACAAATGATAGATTGGTGGGATGCTCCTGTGCTGTTTTGTTTTGCCAGTTGTTTTTTCTTGGCTTTGGTTGGTTACTCACCAACTCTTGATGGTGTGCTAGCAAGGGATTGGGTAGGCATATTTGTGCCAACCTAGTTGGGATTGGTATGTCTCGTTATAATGCTTTTTTCTCCCATCTTTTTTCCTTCCTTGATGTAATGAGATCTTTGTTCATCAATAAAGGTTTTATTTTGCCAATCAAAAAAAAAAAATGTTTTTTGTTAGAACAAATAGAATGTAATAGAAGAAACATGGGCTGTTAGCAAACATTTGTGGACTTTTTTGGGTTGTTTGTCAAAATTCATGTCACATTAACTTTTGCATTAAAAAAATTAATACTTTTTTAATATTAATTTTCTAATAAAAAATAAAAAAACCATTAAAAAAAGTTTGATTGATTTGTAAGGGCCACGTAGAATCAGAACTCATCTAAAGATCAAAAGCTAACACCTTGTGTCATTTTCTCCTCACCTCTTTTCCTTTCATTTGCCATACCTCATTTCAAATTATTTCTAGTGGCTCCTCGACTATGATAAGAATAGGGGTGCCATTGTTGATTTCTACTTTAACTGAAAGAAAATCATACTTCTATGTACACATGCTTCGCTAGCCGCATCAATCTCTAGGATGTTGGGTATGTTGAATTGAAAATGTTTCCTTAAAAAAGAGTATATATGATAAGTCAAGTTTGGACTGAGGTTTAAAAATAATGAGTAGTTTTATTATTCCTCATTGCTTTCTATATTGCAGCTTGCTCTGCCCTCTCACACTATCAATTCAGAGAAAAAATTGACTTGAGTTGATGTTTTATCAACTAACAATAAGGTAAAAAACTTGTCACTCTATTATCAGACGCTGCTTCTATCTGGTGAGTTTGGTGGGATAGTGAGGAGTTGGGATCTGACAGATTTGACCCAATGACACGAGATTGTACTTTTTATTTATTTATAAATATTAACACATTTTTTTGATTTTTGAAACTTAAATTTATAGAAACAATAGAGATACAACAGCAAAACTATTGTTGTAAGCCCAGATGGAAGTCATATTTATGCAACAAGCAACTTGGCACATCTATATGACTAAGAGTACATTGATTACGAGGGGAAAGGAGATTAGGGGAACACTATGGTGCAGTGCATTTTCCCAAGGCTTGTTGTAGGGTAAGTTACATTTTATAAATTCTACTCCAAACTTTCTGCTAATTATAAAGTTGACCCAAGATAATTTGAGGCCTAAGGGCAACCACTTTAAGAGAAGCTAAATAAATTGATATGAAATCATACATTTATACTTTGTCTATAATATTGTCGGTGGGCAGTATTTGCATCTGATAAATATCTAGGAATCTATGATCCAAGTGTCAAGAATGTGACTTAGAAGAAGAACATGGTTGATTACATCAACCAATCTGTAATCACATCATTTGTTGTTAATCAGAATGCTACTACTTTCTTCTCTAGTAAACTCACCATTATCTTTGTTCAATTTTTTTCTTTTATTCAAATTTGTTTTGAAATAAGAGTTTCAGTTTGTTATAGTAATTAACTTGAATTTATGTGTTGTAATAAGGCTTGACAGTGGTGGAGTAGTGGCTTACACACAACACGGTGATCTAGCCAAACCCATTCCTTTGAAGTTAGGTGCACCTATATTAGCTTTTGACTATACGCTATGATCAACTGAGCCTAGAATTTAGTTATTAATCTTCATCAAGGAGAAAAAGTGAATTGTTTGCCTGGTGTCATGTCCTTGGTTTTTTTTCAAGGTTTGCACCTAAATCTTCCTATTTGGAAGAGAGTTGAAATAGATTCACATACAAAAAGAAGTTTTAGAGAGAGACAGAGAGAGAGAAACACTTTCTAGAGAGAAACTTTTGGAGAATATTTTGCTTTGTTTCACTTAGATGTTTGGGCAAATGAGGCCATCCCTTTTTATAGGTTACAAGGACTATTCTAGAAATGTTAGAATGGAGAGGATTTTAGATCATTTCTACATCTTCTCAAATATCTTATTCTATAATATACAAAAATAGTATATACAGTTCTAGAACTATTTAGAGGCTTCTACCATCCTCTTGAATGTTTTAGAGAATTCTAAATTCTTCTATTAGTTTCAATTTTTGTTGCCTTTCCCTAGAAACTTTGGTGGGTCATGACATTTGACCACAATTCTCCTTGGATTTGCTTCATAGCTTTTTTGATCAATCAAACATTTTTGGTAAAGTTAAAGAGATTTCCAAGTATACATCCATGCGGCAAGTCCCCCCATACTCCAAACAAAAAGCCAAATAATCATAGAAAACACAGGAATACTTTTTAAAAGGGTAAATTACACTTACCTCCCCAAAGATTTAACATAATTACAGAAATCTCTCCTCATGTTTCAAAAATAACATTAACATCCCTTTTGAAATTATTTTACAAATTAGTCCAATGTTAGCCATCTGTTAGTTTTTTTAACAAAATGCGCTGATGGTACATATTTTCAAGCATTAACTACCCACAATGCCCCTTAGTTGTCGTCCATATTTAGGGTCAGTTTAGGATGTTGCAAACATGAATCTTTTGACTTTTTATAAAAAGATGTGTAAAAAAATAGAGAGAAAACAATGGTACTAAATGCACCAATTACCCTACTAACTAATATACCAATAGCTGATGTGACATTGCTACCTCAAAATTACTGACCTCACCTAATTTACAAAGACCTAAACCCCTACGTTCTCCAAACCCTCTCGCGATCCATCACTACACAACTTTTCAGCTCCCAAGTTGTTTGGCCTCTCATGTTCCACAACAACTCAGATGACGATCACCAGCAGTAGCGACATTGCTGAAACAAAAATTGTTCTCGTTTTCCATCTCTCATCACCAGGCGCATACTGTCAAAGGTTGAACATAACTTTTTGCTCTAGATTTTGTGGCTTCTCATAGTCCGCAACAAGTAATCATGTTTTGCCTCATCTCACCAAACGCAAAACTGTTATTATGGTTTTGCATTTTTTCTTTCTCTAAATTCTTTACATAACTATTATTATGACTCTGCGTTTTTTTCCTATATTGGTTGTAGTCATCTGTTGTTCGCCCAATATATTACTTTGGTGATGATGGTGCCCCTGCATTGTTTTAAGTTGGTTGTTTTTACTATAATTTTTTTTAATTACCCAGTTAATGTTATCTTCATTGATGTTGCAATAGACCAAGTCTACTATCTTTTAAATGATTTTCAAATTGGATTATTTTTGTAGGGGTTCTTGTTTGATCTCTATTTTGTTGCTTTTGTTACTAATGAAATTTTCTGATTTTTTTTTTTTGGGGGAAAAAATAATTTGATTAATGCACTAGTACTATAAAAAGCAACAATGAAGAATAAAATCAATGTGTCTACATTTTAATTGTTGATATGCTACAGTTGGTTTCGTGCTTTATTGAATACTGTATAATTTATGTTGCTTGTGATCAAATTAATTGATCTGGTTTGAGAATATAATTTTTTTAATTGTTTTTTAAAATTAAGGTTCTCTTTCTTACTCCTATTATTAATCCTAATAATCTCATATATTTTTTCATAAAGTTTCATATTATTTATTGCAAAGAGATGGAAGGAATTTCAAGTAATTATCAAAGTATGGAGTATAATGAGAATAACATTCAGAATGAAACAGAGGAACAAATTGTGGAGTTTAATGAAAGGCATATTGAGAATAAAACAGAGAAACAAATTATGGAGTTTAATAAAGGGCATATTGAGAATGAAATAGAGAAACAAATTGTGGAGTTTAATGATGGGCATATTGAGAATGACAAAAATAAAAATATTGAAGAGAAAATAGAGGATCCTTAAGGTTGGAATGCTATTTGACTCTATTGATGAGATTGTTAAATTTTACCAACAATATGCGAAGGGAATGGGTTTCGGTATGTTAATTAGAAGCTTTAGAAAAGTACAAGGGCAAGTCAGATATGTGACAGTTGCTTGTAGCCACACTCGAAAGCTCAGGATCAACTCAAGTAAACTCCATCAATTGCAACCACAATCAAAAACTGGTTGCAAAGTTAAGATTTGTGCAGTTTTATGCAATGATGGGAAGTGGATGTTGAACTCTGTGGTCCTTGACCATAACCATGGAGTGAGTCGAAGCAAAGCTCGATTTTATAGATGCCATAGGTTTCTCACTACAGCTGTGAAAAAGAGGCTTGAATTGAATAACATGGTTGGTATTAGAACGAATCAAAGTTTCAATTCACTTGTCGTTAAGGTAGGGGGACATTAAAATTTGTCATTTCTAGAGAAGGATGCAAGAAACTATCTCGATATAGTTAGGCGTTTATAGCTTGGGAAAGGAGATGCTATCACTATGCATAATTACTTTTTGAAGATGCAGGCTGGCAATTCTGACTTCTTTTATATGATGGATTTAGATGACGATGGTCGACTAAAAAAGTATTTTGGGCAGATGCAAGGAGTAGAGCCGCATTCAAAGAATTTGGTGATGTAGTTATATTCAACACAACATACTTGGTTAAAAAATATGCCATGCCATTCGCTTCTTTCGTGGAGGTAATCCATCATGGGCACTCAACATTATTGGGGTATGGATTGATATTAGGGGAAGACACCGAGACTTTTATGTGGCTATTTCAATCTTGGCTTGCATGGATGTCTGGATGTCCCCCCAGTGCAATTATTATAGATCAAGACAAAGCTATGAAAAAAGCTATAGAGTGTGTTTTCCCTAATTCATGACACCGATGGTGCTTATGGAATATCATGAAAAGCTTCCTGAAAAGTTGAGTGGGTATAAACAATATGAATCAATCAAGTTTTGTATTCAAAATGCGGTTTATGATTCCTTAACAAAATAAGAATTTGAAAAGAACTAGGAACATTTCATTGAGCAGTATAAACTTGAAAGCAATGAATGGTTACTTGAGTTGTACAACGAGGGGCATCGTTGGGTACTAGCCTTTGTTAAAGATAGTTTTTGGGAAGGAATGTCAACCGCACAGTGGATTGAAAGCATGCATGCATTCTTTGATGGGTATGTCCATTCCAAGACTACTTTGAAACAATTTATAAAACAATATGAGAATGCTTTGGCAAAAAAGGTTGAAAATGAAAACAATGACGACTTCAGTTCTTTCAACTCGTGCATCCCATGCATAGTTGGTTATGACATGGAGAAATAATTTCAAAGTGCTTACACGACTACAAAATTTAAAGAGTTTCAGCGAGAGTTATTAGGGAAGATTTCTTGTGATTTGTCTTCATGTAAGAAAGGTGTTGACATTTTAGAATATGAAGTTGCTGAAGATGTAATGTTTGAAGAGAGTCAGCGTCGTGTAACTTTTAATGTTTGTTTTCATGAGGATACCAGTGAGGTTGATTGTAATTGCCAGTTATTTGAATATAGGGAAATAATGTGCAGCCATCAAATTGTGGTGTTAATTCATAAGAAGGTTGATCAAATACCGGACAAGTACATCTTAAGAAGTTGGTCTAAAAATGTCAAAAGGAGCCACACAAAAGTTCGGATCAGTTATGACAATTGGGCTATGAAACTTGAGGCACGTAGCTTTGCTAAAATGTGCAATGCCTTTTATGAGGTTGTTGAGTTGGCAGAAGATTCTGAAGATAGATATGAAAAGGTGATGGAGCGAATATGTGAGCTAAACATCAGCTTTAAAGAAGGGAATTGTGGAAGCAATAAGGATAGTTCAAAACCTCATCAAAAGAGTCCAACCTCATGTGGGAATGGTTTTGGAATTCTCAAAGAAAGCATAAACATACTTGATTCATCAATTGTTCACCAAAAAGGGCGCCCGCCATACAAAAGGAAGCAATCTAAGGTTGAAAAGGTTATTAAGAAAAGAAAGGAAAGAAAAAAGAAAACACAGACCACTAGTAGTAAAGAAAATATGCACAAGCAAATTGATGAAAGTGTGGAGAAGGTGGTGGTGTAGTTGTATTTTATTGATTGATTATTACTTTATACTATTGTTAATAATATTTCCTAACTTCTTTTATTTTACATTTTTGTAGGAGCCTATGAACCATAGAAACATGCATGATACGAGTTGTGCTATGAGATTTATTGGACTTGGAACACGAGAGTATTAATTTAAATGTAAGAATCTTTATTTTATATCATCAATAGTTGTTAGTTGCTTTAAAATATGTAATTATGTTATACACAATGTAGGATTCTGCATTCCAACAGTCACAACATATTGGTGGTAGGAGTTTTGACTTTCAGAAGGTGTCACATATGTGGCCAAGCATGGTTGGGCTGCCAAGTATTACTGGGATGAGTCCATTCTTTGGGCAGCCAAATATGCTACAAGGAGGAAGTGTGCATTATTCGACTAGTATGGTTGGAAAAGGGTTTGGCATTTATCCATCTTAGGTATGCATTTTTTCCATCCTAGTAGTACATCTTTCTGTTTAAAAAAAAAATGTCATTTAATTTTTTGTTTTGTTTTTAGGATCATCATTAATCTTCATCGTGGAGAGGAGGCTTTGAGATGGCACCTATGCATCCCACTGGCTTAACTGGAATGTTGACAAAGAATGATTTGATGCAAGTTAAAAATCCAAGATTGCACAAGGATGGATTAGGAAAAGAAAGTCATGATGGAAAGTGATGTTGATTGAGCAAACTTGCAAATGATCTACTTTGTTTCAATGTGTTTTTGCTTGATCTTTATATGACAATGGGAATATTGGTTTTTTTTTTTGGAGGGACAAGCAACTTTAAGTTTATTTAAATCTCAATTTGAAGTTTAAACCTTAGTTTATTTTATGCATTTCACCTTATTCAAAAAAAAAAAAAAAATCTGCATAAACATGTTTCATTTATGCCTTTTAGCTTATACAGATTAATGCATTTGTCAAACAGTTTATTTTTAAAACCATTAAGAAAAGATGATTGAACAATCCAACATTATAATTCTAGCACAGTTTTGCACTATTTCAACATAATTCCGACAAAATTTAAACATATTTTCTTTAGTTCCTATGAACAAAACACAAAAAAAAAGTCATATTAACCACTGCCTTCTCAACCACATACAAGAAACAAACCATCATTGCAACATGTTGGAAAAAATGGTTTTTTGGTGAGTTTAATGTGAAATTAAAGTAAGTCCCAACCATTGGCTAAGGTGGGATTAAATGGGTTTAGATTTTGTGTAAGAAGGTCTTTACACCATAAAGAGAATGACCAAAACCCATTAAGATTATGAGAAGAGCATGAGCCCTTTGGGGCATCTAAATTTTTCGAAAGAAGGGTGGCATGGATGCTCTCAAAGATGGGCTTGGGCCAAGACCATGGTCCAAGTTGATTATGGCAAAATTGCCACACGCACGCGCGCATGCTGCTTGCTTGCCCGGACTACCGGGTCCGCGTCTATGGTTCGTGGTCCATGGGTCGTGAGGCTTGAGGGAATGGGTTACGTTTGGGCTAGGCCGAATTGGTGGTCCACCAACCTATTGTTTTTGGGACAGGTCTGCTGCAGGTTCAAGGCTGTTGCAAAAATGTATATACACATATGTGTATATTGTGTGTAACTCACACGTTGAATTCCCATCAGTTTTTTGCATTACTACAGTAGTTTTGTAGGAGTAATGACCTACATTAGTGGCTAGCCTTCATAATTGGAGGCTCCACCTCTCTCCTCCATGGTGTATAAAAGGAGACCCATCTCCCTTGGTTTTAGTATAGCTTTTTACCTTCCAGAATTATACAATTAGTCTGTTTGTGTCTATAATTTTCTTCTTGTATTGAGAGAGTGCTGCCATTGTTTGTTTGCCAAAGCTAATAGAAGGTGCTTCTGCGTTAGCTGGTCTAGACCATCTTATCATGGGAGACAGAAGTCGACGTTCCTCCAATACTCACGGGGAGACGGCTAATCTGTTTTAAGGACACTGTTGTATCACACAGAATTTGGTTTGTTTTCTTGTTTTTAATATTTCAATTAAACATGTACTTCTGTTAATCATGTTTCATGTTTCATACTCAAGAATGTAATTTATCATATATGGATTTATTTAATGGTCTATTATTTAATTTAATCAAATATGAATATATTTGTCTTGTTTAATCACACAATTTGATTAACAATCTTAAAACAGATTAGCATATTTCCCATGAAATTGTACAAATAGATTTGTAATTTCAATAGTTTTCTGTTTTTCAGAATATAAATTGTATAATGAAATTGTACAATTTGATTAACAATCTTAAAACTGGTTTGCTTTTGTACATAGATTAGCCTACTGTTACATGTATGTGAATCTTTAATAATATATATATATATATATATTTGCATGTTATTGTTTGCTGGGCACATGTAATGGTTATTGTTGCATCTATGGATTTGTAGGCCACTGTTACATATAGAAAAGAGTATGAAAATCCATGATTAGGAATTATAGGCCACTGTTATATATAATTGTCTGCATGATAAAGAAATTATGTTGGAGATGATTATACAATTAGTCCACTGTTTTGTTTTGGTTGCATATTTTAGGAGTATGAATTTTAATTTCCCCACCTGCAAGTTTTAATTAAAAATACAACTTGATTAGAATTGTTCAGAATTTCTAATGTGCACTATTTGGACTGTTTTTTTAAAAAAATTAGACATTCATTCTAATCTTTATACAAGCCTTTGTTTCATTTCTGTGGTTTCATGTTTAGTAAAATTCATTAGTATAGTTTTTTTTCCAGACCTTTAATAAACTTGTGCATGCTTATGTGATTTAGCATGATTCATTGGGTCTACCATGATTTGTATATCCTGTTTGCTTTTATAAGTTTATAATCTAATTTGCATGCTAATGGGTTAATAACTTCTAAAATTATTTACATGTTTATTGAGAGTTAAATCCATTTGTAACTCTTGCCTATTATTTTAATTAAGTGTTTAGGAGTTGTAAGTCTTTGTAACTTGTGTAATAATTTTATATATAAAACTCTTAACTATTAATTTTTAATTTAATTCTTAGAGTTATAGGTTTAATTGTATATTTATTTACATGTTTATTGTGTAAATTAATTGTAAATTTATTTTGGAGTTTTAGTTTAATTTGTGTAACTTATATAGCATTTTAATTTTACTTAATGTTGCTATTCATTATATATTGTTAAAAGGGGTGAATACAAGTTTTTTTCAATTAGTTGCTTTGTCTTATGTTGCGGGTTACTACTAACCTTATTTGTAGGCATACCTATGCTAAAGGGAATGGAAACAAGACAAATCCAAATGAATTAAATTTGGGATTGCAATAAGAATTTGGACATCTAACTTTTTTGATTGAACAGAAATACCTAAGTGAGGAAAGGAGTTTTAGACAAATGATAATCCTATTTGGATTAGTTCACTCTTAGTTATATTTGAAGCAATTTTTCTTGAGATTTATTTGGTTTGTTTACCAAGTTGTAAAAGCAAATTTTATTTGCTTATATTGTTGTAGCAATTTTCTATATTGCTTGTAATTTGGTTAGCAATTTTTAAATTGTTTGTAAGTGTTGAACCTTGGTTTGTTTTAACTTAGTTCATCCCTTCGAAAACTTAATTCCAAAATTGTTTCTCACGGAGTAGGAGTCAACATGCTCTTGAAAGTTTTGTCAAAAGGTTAACTGGGATTTTCTAGTGTTAAGTTTAAATTCTGGAAACACAGAAAGTGATATTCTGAGGTATTTTTCAGAAATGACAACTGTCACCAATGATGTTGTTACTGCTAATGTTGGTAGGGATCTGAACCCTGGGGCAACTGAATTTCCAACCCCAACTGTGACCTCTATGGTCAACCCTGGTGTTACTCTAGCTGTTCTGGGAGGATCGCTCAATCACCATGAGCGCCCAGAGAAATTTGCTGGGGTGAACTTCAAAAGATGGCAGCAAAAGATGCTGTTCTACTTGACCACGTTGAACCTTGCAAAGGTTTTGAGTGAGGATCCTCTAGCTGTGGCAGAGAATGAGCCAGACAAGCAGAAGGTCATAGCGCTTGACACATGGAAGCAGGCAGACTATCTTTGCCGGAACTATGTGTTTAATAGCTTGGCAGACTCACTCTACAGTGTGTTTTGTGCTAAGAATTCAGCAAAGGAGTTATAGGATCTCTGGATAAGAAATACAGGATTGAGGATGCCAGGGCAAAGAAATTTGTTGTTGGCCAGTTCCTGGACTTTAAAATGATAGATACAAAAATTGTGATAAGCTAAGTCTGGGAGTTCCAAGTGATCTTGCATGAAATTCATGCTGAGGGAATGCCTTTGAACGAGTCATTCTAAGTTGATGTGATCATTGAGAAACTTCCCAATGGTTGGAAGGACTTCAAGAACTACTTGAAACACAAGCGCAAGGAAATATCAGTTGAAGAGCTGGTTGTCCGACTCCAGATGGAGGAGGATAATAGAAAGAAAGGAGGGAGTACCTCCTCTGTGAAGGCCAATTTCATTGAGCATGGAAAATCTTCTTGGGTAAGGAAGAAGCCTCATATGAACAAGGGCTCCAAGCTGGGGCCAAGGGGTGGTGCTGCAAAGAAGTTGACATACAAGCCATAGGAACCTGGTTATCGGTTCTTAAGGAAGTGTTATAACTGTGGTAGTGAGGGGCACTGGGCTAGTGACTACCATAAGCAGAAGAAGCCATACAAAACCAAACCTCGTGCTCACATGGCAGATATGCAAGAGCACTCCCATGATGAGGATGACATGCGCTTGCTTGCCTTTGTCTTTGAGGTGAATTTGGTGGGTTCAAACCCAAGAAAATGGTGGATTAATACTAGGGCTACATGCCACATTTGCTCTGAGAAGAAGCTGTTTATAACTTTCAAGCTGGTTGGGAAACTCTGTTACCTCAATTGTTGAGGGAAAAGGAAAGGTGGTCCTAAAGTTGACCTCAAGAAATGAGCTGACCTTGAATGAAGTCCTGTATGTTCTAGACATTCGTAAGAATCTTGTCTCATGGTCTCTTCTCAGCAAACATGGTTTTCGCATGGTCTTTGAGTCCGACAAGGTTGTTTTGACCAAGAGCGGAGTGTATGTGGGTAAGGGTTATATGTTGGGGGTATGTTTAAACTCAATGTAATGACTGTTATCCCAAAGATGAATAAAGATGCATCTTCTTCTGCTTACATGCTTGAGTCTTCCAATTTGTGGCATGGTAGACTAGGACATGTGAACTTTGAATCTTTACGTAGATTAATCAAGTAAGATCACATACCATCTTTTAAGATTAATCCGAAACACAAGTGTGAAACTTGTGTTGAAGTGAAGTTGACAAGATCTTCGTTTCATTCTATTGAAAAAAGTTCGAGCCGTTGGACTTAGTGCATAGTGATGTGTGTGACTTGAAGATTATAAAATCACGTGGTGTCAATAAATACTTCATCACTTTTGTTGATGATTGCACTAAGTATTGTTATGTGTATTTGCTCAAAAGCAAAAGGCTATTGACAAGTTTGTTCTTTATAAGAATGAAGTTGAGAATCAATTAGGCAGCAATATTAGGGCTTTAAGAAGTGATCATTGTGGTGAGTATGAATCACCGTTTATTGAGATTTGTGCTCAATCCGAGATTATCCATCAAACCACGGCGCCTTATTCTCCTCAGTCAAATGGGATTGCTGAGCAGAAGAATAGGACGATAAAAGAGATGATGAATGCAATGTTGATCAGTTTTGGATTGCCACAGAACTTGTCGGGGGAAGCAATTCTCTCCGCGAATTACATTCTAAATAGAATCCCTTGGAAGAAAATAGACAACACTCTATATGAATTATGGAAAG